TTATTTCATCTTTCAATTAACGAAACAATTTTATTTGTTTTAGTTAACAAAAGAAACAGTTATTAATTAGTGAACAGAGATTTAATGACGTGATTAAGATGTGTTAATATTTACTTGAGTCTGAACAGTGCAGAAACCTTATTTGTAGTTTCCATTAAATTTAGATGTAGCTATATTTAATAAAATTTCAATCACTTCCATTTACAGAATGGTGACTGTTTCCAAAGACGGCACGTGGAAGCTGTGGGACACTGATGTGGAGTATAAGAAAAAGCAGGACCCATATTTGCTCCGGACCATGCCATGTCAGGTGTCAGAGGGGAGCCGCATTGCCCTGTCTCCCGACGGTCGTGTAGTAGCCATATCAAACGGTTGTGATATAGCCATGTACAGTGCCAGCACTGGTGAACTAGAGGAGGAGTTTCACGGTGTTCACAGCGAAGAGATAACTGACCTTAAGTTTGACATCAATAATCGTTTCTTAGTAAGTAGTGGGGACCGTGCCATTCACGTCTTTCACAATGTAACCGGTTACCGCGCTGCCATCCAGGACATGCAGACCATGCTGAAGAAAGCCTCAAATGATGGAGTGAGACAGAGACTCCAGCAGCAGATAACAGATGCCCAGAATGCTCTGGACACAGTGCTGAATGCAACAAAGAACTAAAAGCTGATTTGTTTTCACTGGAAATTTAGTCTGTTTTTGGTTTCAGTATTAAGTTTTAAAGTATTAAGTTGCTTTAGCATGCTGATTTTATTGAATAAATTGGGTGTTTTTAAGTGTTTGTCAACTACTTTTGTTCCTCTTTCACTGATTTTTCTACTGCCATCTCTTTGTGGCTTTTAAGGTGACATTTACACTTTTAAGGGGAAATATGTCCTACAAAGGCAAAATACAGTCATACTGAAATGGAAACACCCTTTTATTTACACACACACATATATATATATATATATATATATATATATATATATATATATATATATATATTTATTTATATACAGTATATATATATTTATATATATTTATATATATATATATAATGACAGTATGAGCTAAAATTACTATCTACCATCTACCTGTCTACCTGTAATGATATATTTGTGACTTGTGTTGTTGCTTGCAAAAATGTTATGCTATCTGTCATAATGTTACAGCATGTGCCAGCAGGGACTAACTACCACAGCTAACCAGCTAAACCAGCAGCAGTGAGGAATGATGTTCTGAGATCTGCTGTGGTATCTGGAGGCTGATCAGATCTTGGAAGGTCATCAGCTCTGCTGAAGCCAGTTGGGCCGCAGTGGACTGATTTAGTCCATAATGTCTGGCTCTGTTGGCACTTGACGCGCTCAGCCCGCAGCACGCCAGCGGCCCTCTTCCTCACTACCGGTGACACTCCAATGCCTGCGAACGCACAGAATCTGCCCTTTTTCTTGCAGCGACTAAAGCTTTAACTGAAAGCATATTAGCAGGACGTTCTTCTGTATCTCTACAGACGAAAGTTCACTGAGTGAATCTTATGAAAACATATACAGGTCACATTTCATCCTAAAAACATTTTAAGTAAAGAAAACTAAGCCTATTTGGTATTGATTACATGGTGGCAATTAAGAGTCAAGAAGAATATCTCATTACCATAAATTAGTCTTTTGTAATTCTCATCACCTCCTCATTAGAGTATGTAATACTCGCGAGACGGAACGCGACGCTGTGATCATCGGAGACTCCATCGTCCGGCACGGCCGTGCTACGATAGCTGAAGCACACTCACTGTTTTCCTGGTGGTCGTGTTCTCAATGTTTTTGCGCAGATACCCGCGATCCTGAAGGGCGACGAGAGCCCCGGAGCGATGCTTCACACCGGGGTTAACGACACCAAGCTGCGGCAGACGGAGACACTGAAGAGGGACTTAAAGAGCCTGATCAAGACGGTACGCAGCACATCACCCACGACGATGATCATCGTGTCAGGACCGCTTCCCACGTATCGACGAGGACATGAAAGGTTCAGTAGGCTTTTTGCTTTAAATGAATGGTTATTGTCATGGTGTAAAGAACAGAAACTGCTCTTTGTTAATAATTGGAATCTTTTCTGGGAGCGTCCTAGGCTTTTTCGCGCTGATGGCCTGCACCCCAGCAGAGTCGGAGCGGAACTCCTGTCAGACAACATCTCCAGGACGTTACGCTCCATATGACTAGTAAGTCAAATCTCAAATAACTGCCATGATGACTTTTTTTCTACCCGCTTAAATGATAGAAGTACTTGCGCTGTCCAATCTATAAAGACTGTGTCTGTTCCCCGAATAGTGAGGTCAAAATATAAATTTAATGCAGGATCTAGAAAAAATCTGATCATGATTAAACCAGAAAAATGTAAAATAAATTAACAAAAATATTTTTAAAGTGTGGGCTCCTAAACATTAGATCACTCGCACCCAAAGCAGCTGTTGTAAATGAAATGATCACAGATAATAGTTTTGATGTACCCTGCTTGACTGAAACCTGGCTAAAACCAAATGATTATATTGTTCTACTGTTATAAGCATGAGCCCCGTCAGACTGGTTGTGGCGGCGGTGTTGCAATAATATATAGTGATATTCTCAATGTTACTCAAAAGATAGGATACAGGTTTAACTCATTCGAAATACTTCTGCTTAATGTTACACTGTCAGATATGCAAAAGAAATCTATCGTATCTCTTGCTCTGGCTACTGTGTATAGACCACCAGGGCCGTATACAGATTTCCTAAAAGAATTTGCAGATTTCCTCTCAGACCTATTGGTTACTGTTGATAAAGCGCTAATTGTCGGAGATTTTAATATTCACGTTGATAATACAAATGATGCATTAGGACTT